TGTGCTTTAGTAGCATCTTCATCATCATCAGAATTATTTGCAAAGTCAGTACTTGGGCTTTCTTCCTTGAGATTTTCCTTACAAGCAGATGGTGCAACGGAATGCTATGATGTGCTGAACTTCTCTCAGAAGAGCCACTTTTTTTTTTGCAGAAAGGACTCTGACTTGTTCTCAGAAACTTTGTTTATCTCTTCTTTGTTTTGTTTAAAAAATAAACTTCAAAATTATTTTTCATGCACCATCTTTTCAAACAATTAGAGAAGTTATGATCTTCCAATATATACCAATAGTCTTCCCCCAAATTCCTTTTTTTGTTACCGATGAAGATTGTCGTCATCTTTGTAGCATTGTCGAAATCCCTCCAAAATCTCATGATTATTAAACTTTGAGAAATTTCCTCTAAGAAAAGCTTTGTTTTTGTATTTCTGTCATGAAATAAAATACAAAATGATTTAAACACTGTATGCTCTCTCAAACTTATACTTTCTTTTGATACAAACGAAATTGAAGTGAATTAATAGTTTTGGCCAAATACTTCAAGAAAAAAATTAAGAAATGAAAGCAATTATTAGAAATAAGTGGGTGGGGGCTGCAATAATAGAATATCCATACTTGTGCAGGTAGGGGTTTGATTCACAGTGAAATAGCATTTGACAAAGCATTTTCAAAGCAACAATTAAGTTTCCGTCCTGTTTGACCGAAAGTAATTTATTTTAAAAAAATAAGAGAAATGACGTCTCAAATTTTTAAATCTTCCAAATCTGTGTTGTTAATTACAAAAGTAAGCCATTTTTGCTACTTCCTGTTCGACCGGAATGACATCGACGGACGGAAAATAAATTTTATGCTTTCATCAACAAATACTTAAAAGCATGTCAAGAACGGCAATGTTATGCTTTTTGACTACTTCCGGTTTTGCCGGAAGGACGTCACAGGACTATTTTTATGATCTTTAAAAGATGCTACTAGAATTTTGAAAACTTTTTTTTTGATATATAACAAACTCTCAATACTTTTTGAGATATCTGGAAAAAATTTGGCCCTTTTTTTGATATCTTTTAAAGATTTTTTTTTGACAAATTTTATTTATATGTTTTAAAAAAATTTTTATTTTAAAAGATAAAAGCAAAATATGTGACACTTTTTTTTCTTTTAGGCTTTAATTTTTTACCCCTATATATCACCATTTAGAATGAGAAATGAAAAACAAAAACCGATGTGCACAACTTCAATCCTTCTATTTTTAAAATCAGTAAAATTTCTCTCGGCTTTTTATCACCTAGCCTTTATCTGGAAATGAAAGCCTATAAATTTTCTTTAAAAGGAAATAATTCAAAAGCTGAAGTGAATTTATGGAATGTAGACAAAATTCTGATAGAGTTTTGCAACGTCTATAAACTCTGCAAATATCAGCAAAATCTATTGAGAAATGAGTAAAATATAAGGCCTCAAAGTTGGCATCTGGGAAAAAGGGAAAAAAAAATAAGAGGAATAATCTTAATCATCAGAATCAGTAGACGGCTTTTTTTTTCAACGGAAGACCTTCATTAGAACCAGGTCTTAAAATGTAGCTACATGTATGCAATACTAAATTGATCCATGCATGAATTCACAAATAGAATTGTCCACCATGTTAAATAACCTTGATTGAATTACTTTTAGGACATCCAATATGAATTCCAGTGAAAAGGGTGAAATTTCTGATTTAAAATATATTTCATTACAACGGAAATCCGATGGTATGGTATCTCTCTCTAGAAAACATTTAAACATTAAACTACACCCTTCTTTTGACTTTTGTGACAAGTCGCTATTGGGCTGGAAATTATTTTTTGGCCCCTTATCCCAAAAAGGGTTTTAATCAATCAAAGAAACGACACCCTTCTTTTGACTTTTGCGACAAGTTGCTATTGGTCTGGGAATCTATTCTCTTGATTCCTAATCCCCAAAAGGGTTTAACCATTCAAATACAAAGGGAATGATATTTAACATTGCAGATGATATTACCGATCACTTGAGTATATTACAGTAAATCTTGCCTTATCCGAATACCAAAGAAACTGGCCTGATTAAACAATATGTACTCTAGATAAGAAAAGATATTAAGGTATTCAATGTACAATGAATGGATTTTGAACGATTTCAAATAATTCTAAACTGGTTAAAAATACATTTCTAGATAACAATTAAAGTGAAATGTACCAAACACAGATAAAGATGAAAGGAGATAGTCATTTTGCGCGTTTTAAGTTTTTTAAAGAGCTGTATCTGCCCTTGATGAAAAGAAGACATTTTTATTTCTAAGTGCCGTCTATAGACTTCAATGTAAAATTTGAGGTGCAATTTATTTGACAATAATCAAAATTTTTGCGGATTCCTTTGGTGGAGCATTTTGATTTGATTTAAAATTCTACCATGATTAAAATTATAAGATCATTCATTTATTTTATGCAAAATGTGGTCGTTATACATTGAATACCTTAATCTAAAGAGTTTTCTGAAAAAAGATGTCAAGTTTAAATGGTATTTGGCAAGATTTTGAATTACAAACATCCGGATTCGACGGGATTCACTTAACGATCCTGTAAAGGATCTGCATGAGACAGAGATATATTTAGTGTCTTCATTTTCTTTTTTTTTAAGAAAAAAGAAGTATTTCAAAGTATTTTTGAGGAAATTTCATCAGAAAAAAAATTAGGTTTGCCACTCTTTTGTAGCCTCTCTGTACGATTTAAATAAAAAATCTTGCAGTTTATGAGAACAAGTAGAAATTCAAAATCGTCATTGCAACTCAAGATTCTTAGATCAAACTGGGTTCACATAATATGCAAGGCAACGGGCAAAAACAGTTTGCGAAAGGTCATCTAAATGACTCGGTGGTTTTAAAAAGCTCAGTTTTGTAAGTTTTAAAGTATACGCTAGTGTATATGTTCTCCCTACACTCTTTTTGTAAGCCATTGATAATTAATACGAAGGTTGAACAAAAAGTAATGTCACAACTTTGATAAAATTGCTATAAATCGACGTAAAGCAACGCAACTACACATGATGGAAGCTTTATTTATTTCATATCAGACCTGAAAAATACAAAGGAATATCATGAATACTTTCCAAAATATCGCGCTTCATGAAATATGCCCGGCGTGAAGCGTCGTGGTTCATAACCTCTTGAATCTTCAAAAATTTAATTCATTTCTTAAATGAACACTATCTGGGGATGATTATTCAACACGAGTTTCATCTTTTCACTCCCAATGGTTTTTGAGAAGAAGATTTTAAAAGATTGTTCCTATATATACTTACGTAAAACTTTGATTGACCATTTCGGTCCACCCTTGCCCCGGGGTCATTATTTGAACAAAATTAAATCTACACTAAATGAGGATGATTCCACGAGTTTCATCTTTTCTGGACCAGCGGATCATGAGAGGAAGAATTTTTTTTTAAATGCCATTAATTTTTCTTCAATTATTTGAAATTCTCCTTTGAAGAGGGCGTGGCCCTTCATTTGAACAAATTTGAATCCTTTATCCAAGGATAATTTTTAGCAAGTTTGGTTGAAATTGGTCCAGTGGTTCTTGAGAAGAAGATGAAAATTTGTGAAAAGTTTACAACGACGCCAACGACGACGACAGACAACGGACAAATTTTGATCAGGAAAGCTCACTTGAACCTACGGCTCAGGTGAGACAAAAATCTTTTGGGATATAAATACGGGTTGCTCACGAAATTAAATTCGACGAGGCCCGAATGGCTTAATGGTGAATGTAATATCGTACCGAACCCGTAATTATAGCCCGATAGATGTTTTAAAATGAAACTTTATTATTTATATAAAATTTACATTTGTGATTTATTCATATTTCATATTTGCCTGATTATGACATTTAAAGCATGGGTTCTTTTGTATTTCAAACCCAATGTAATCCATTGATTGCGCGTCGAACCTTTATGAAGTCACAGAAAAATTACGTCGAACTATGGCAAGCCCTTTTACTATTTATTCGGAAAATAAATTTCATCTGAAAATTACAGAGATATCTCTCATTTTAGAGAGATATCTCTTCAAAATAAGAGATATCTCTCAACTTAAAGAGATATCTCTTATTCTAAAGAGATATCTCTATAAGAAAGAGATATCTCTTAAAGTTAGAGAGATATCTCTTATACTTAGAGAGATATCTCTTTTTCTTTGAGAGATATCTCTTTCTCCTTGAGAGATATCTCTTTTTCGTGATAAGAGATATCTCTGAACGTTAAAGAGATATCTCTGATCGTTAGAGAGATATCTCTTTCAACTAGAGAGATATCTCTTTCACCTAGAGAGATATCTCTTTCACTTAGAGAGATATCTTTCCAAGTTAAAGAGATATCTCTTAAAGTAAAAGAGATATCTCTCTAAGTTTATCTTAAGAGATATCTCTCAAAGTGAAAGCGATATCTTTCAAAAGTGTCTCAAAGAGATATCTCTAAAGCAAAAAGATATATCTCTTTATTGCAAAGAGATATCTCTCTTCATTATGTTTATTTAAATGCCATTTGAAATGACTTCTCCCTTTACCGGAAGTGAACTTTTTATTCATTATTTCAAAAGCTGAGAAAATTCGGTCCATAGTCTGTAAGTCTCGTCACTTGACTCGCGAGATTTTACGATAATTTTCACTTCCTCGCACATGGTCATGGTGAATGTGCATTGAGTTCAGCATGTTTCTGGTTTACACACAGCTTTCAGGGGGAAATTAAATAGTTTTACAAAGCCGAAGGGTTGTCCGACTTACGATGTATGAATTTCATATCATAAGAAATTGGGTGCGAGCGTCCACCAGGAATATTTCGATCGAAATACAGGTAAACAAATCAAAGAGTGTCATCCGTTTCTTGTTTATTTTGAGGGAAAATGAAGTGTTTTATTCTTAACCGAATGAAATAGTTTCAAAATTATCTTTTGCCTTAATTTGTTAACAGATTTCTCTTGAATCCGAGATGTTATTCATCAGCTGATTAGTGATTATAGAGGAGGAGTTTTGTCATTGATGGGAACCAACGTCATATTTATGATATTGTGGCTGCATTACTTTTGTTTGGGTAATTTTTTAATATACATTTTATGCCCCCGTAAACGAAGTTTCGGGGGTAATTAGTTTTTGTCATGTCCGTCTGTCTGTCTCTCTGTTTGTCCGCAAAAACTTTCACCTTGCCCATAACTTTTGATTTAGTGGAGCTATGGCTTTCATATTTCATATGTATATTCCTTGTGTAAAGACCTTTCTTTGGGTACCACCAAATTTGACCTTTTGACCTTGACCTTGGAGTTTGACCCACTTTAAAAATACAACATTGACAGAAATTTTTGAAGGGTTATGACTAGGGCATTCATACTTCACAAATTTAATCCTTGTGACAAGACCTTTCATTTGATTTCAAGAACCTTGACCTTGGTGTTTGACCTACTTTTTACAAACTTTAACCTTGACCATAACTTCTGAATAGATGGGGCTAGAGCTTTCATATTTCACATGTGTAATCCTTGTGACTATACCTTTCATTGGATATCAAGAATCTTGACCCTTTGACCTTGACCTTAAAGTTTGACCTACTTTTTACAAACTTTAACCTTGGCCATAACTTTTGAACGGTAAGGGCCAGTGCTTTCATACTTCCCATGCGTAATCTTTGAGACAAGGCCTTTCTTTAGAACACACAACAACCTTGACCTTGGAATTTGTCCTATCTTTTAAGATGTTAACATTGGTCATAACCCTGGAGCAGGTGTAGTTAGTGTTTACATTTCTAATTTCTTGTGAAAAGACCTTCCTTTGGTACCAATAAACATATTTGATTTGCATTTGAGAAAGCTTAACTGTCGAAGCACATCTTATTTTTCAGTAAATTTTAACCTGCTTTGTATTAGTGGATTATTTTTTGAGCATTAAATGTTTGTAGCAATTTAGATCTATTTCACAAGGATAAGATGTTCATATATGTAAATGTATTATATTTAGCGTGTACATCTCGGAAATTGAATTTTGAACTAGTTAGCGGAAATATGATTTAGCGTATCTCAAAAATTCTTCTTTATTTGTATATGTACAAGGCATTTAGCGTTGTACTTGAATTAGCACTTGCTTTCCGCCAAAAGCGCTAAAAGGAATACACAGCCAAATGTAATACGTTTACAGTATTTTGCCATCTCTCTGCATAAAATAAAATTTTGATGACCATATTTCTCACTTTAGAGAGTATGTTTCCTGTTTATAGAACATGGTTTATGGATTTTGGTAAATTTTTCTGTCTGTTCAAATTCGCCTGTATGGCACAGTGGTTAGAGTGTCTGCTCTAGTAGAGTTGCGAAATAAGGTGTTGATCCTTACATCATGAGTTTGAATCCCACTGTGGGATGTGGAGACCTGTCCTTGGGATGATACAGTTTAACTGTGGCCCCTTGTTGCAGTAGGTCAGGTGTTGGCACAAAAGATCCCTTCCTGCTCAATCAGTCAATGGCCCTGAGTGCTGAGTATAGGTCATTAGGACAAAATTTGCAGCTCTCCACTGTCGTTTCCAAATGAGTGAAAAATTCTTGAGAGGAACGATAAACAATCAATCTGTCTGTTCAATTTATTCACTGATATTACACAACTGTATACACTAAAACTTATTTATAGGAGAGGTACTAGAGAACCAGTAACACAGATAAAAGATGCAGTTCCTAAGAGATCCAAAGTCAGCAGCACCTAAGACTATACTGATCATGACTTTGAATTATCAGCATCCAAAACAATGCAAATCAAATACAGGTATGAAATTGATGCAACAAAATAAGTTCTAAGACAAATATAAAATTTATTTTTTAAAAGACATAGCATATCAAAATGACTAATATACTAGTCAACAACTGGCCAGCTTTAAAAATATATTTGTTTGATGTACTCCTACCCACTTTTATCAAGGTTGGCAGGTAGGTTGGTTGGTACCGGTAGTTTTTTTATGCCCCACCATGATTATGGCCTGGGCATATAGTGTTTGTCATGTCTGTCTTCTGTCTTTCTGTCCATGCGTCACACTTTGCGTTTAGCTCAGTTCAAAGCCCAGTTTCAAAGAAACTATACAGGATATTTCATCAAACTTTGCTGATAGATATTGATCATGTTGATAAGAGCTATGCAACTGCATCAACATTTTCTGTCCTTGACCTTTCCTTTGACCTTGACCTCACTTTTCTTAAATTAGTGTTTAACTTAGTTTTAAACATACCATTCAAGATGGTGTTACAGCAAAGCTCGGTTATAACAAGTTGCTGGGACCTATGAAATTACTTCGCTATATCCATAATTCATTATAATCGTATAAGAAATTCATTGAAATTTTATGGCTGGGAATCCAAGATGACTTCGCTATACCCATGAATTCGCAATATTCGTGTTCGTACGAAACGAGATTTACTGTATCAAACTTACCATACTGATGAGAGCTTTTCAACTGAAACAAACATTTTTTGTCCTTGGCCTTTCTTTTGACTTTGACCTCAATTTTCCTAAGTTAGTGTCAAACTTCATATGGTGATGCATTCTGATGTAAGCAATTCAACTGCATCAACATGATGTTGACCTTTTATTTGACCTTGACCTCACATCTCTGAATTTCACATCTCTGAAATTAGTGTCAAACTTCATATGCTGATACATACTGATGTAAGCAATTCAACTGTAACACTTTTCAAGATATTCTGATCAAATTTCATACAAATTTTCATTTTGCATGACTAATATACCCTTGGCGGGCATTCCTGTCCTGTGGACATATTTCTAGTTTTTTTTCTTATGTCTTACAGCATTGAATAAATTGATAACTGTCATATTTAAAACCACAGACTCAGAAATCTGTTAATGTTTTCATTTAGTTACAAAGACTTTGTATATATAGCATCCTAAAAAAAAAAATATGATACCTTATCTTTAAAACATCTATGGAAATTAAGGGGGTGTTAAAAAATTTTAAGTGCCCCCAAGAAATGAATGCAAATGGGTAGGGGCTATTTTAACAGGTGGGTCAGAGTACATCAAACAAATCATTTTTTTTATTGTTGGCCTAGGAAGGGTACCCTAAATATGAAAATGCAACAAATATTTTTAAATAAAAAGATTTTAAATGAAAATATTTTTTATGTATAAAAAGGACAATTTTTATTCTGATTTTCTTGTAAAATCATTGATAAAATTTAATGAAGAAAGTTAAGATTTGTATCAAATAAATGGATATTTGTAAGATTTATAATTCATTATTTGTCAGGCACCTTAGTCCTACATCATTATCAGTTGCACATACAACTATGGTCTATGTAATAATTCAATTGGCATATTACAGAAGCTTGCTAAATTACAGGTTTTGTCTGTACATCTGGCAATCTTGGGGCAATACTGGATGGTTTTAACTCCAGCATGAAGACCAGCCATGTGCCTCACCTGTCATGACATTATTAAAGGTAAGTGTCCCTATAAGCAAAGAATCTGACAAAGCAAAACCTTCATCTTAAAAGATTTACATTTAATACTTATTTGATTGGTAGTTTTAATTATTTTTTTTCTCTTCTACGCAGCCTTTTATTTAGCATTTCTGAGTACTGCATGGTATATGATTGCCATACTTTCCAAAACTTTTTTTTTTTTAAATGCTTTATTTTGAAGCATTATCCATATCCATATATACACTGTACAAACACAAGACAATTTTCACCCACTCACCACCACAATTGCACACACTCACACAGTGCACTTTCTAAAATTAAAAATGATGAGATATTTGTAAAATACTTATGCCCCCCTCCCCCCACATTGGAATTTTTTATCTAAGTCCAAAAAGGCATTACTCTGTCAAAAATGGTGCAAGCATACCCAAAAGAGAACCTGATCTAGATATTCATGATCATCTGATAAATCTGTATACTAAATTGCATTTCACTATGTGCAACCTCTGCAAAGGAAATGAATAGAAACTGCAAGTAATTGGAATTTTTCTAAAGCCAAGGGGTATAACTCTGTCAAAAATGGCGCGATGATCATACCCAAAACAGAACTTGACCTAGATATCCATCTGATATACCTGTAAGGCTGTATACCAAATTTCATTTCAGTGCAATGGTTGTGAAGAAAATGAATGGAAACTAAATGGAATGACAGACAGCAGCAAAGCAATATGCCCCCCTTTCTTCAAAGGGGGGGCATAATAAATGTACATATATGTAAACATATGACAGTTAAACATACAATTTATCCAAAAACAAAACAGATGTACCCAAATGTGTAGATTTAAATTAATTAAAAATTACAATTTTGATTTTTTCATCACTTGTTGTACACATTATCATACAGGACCCATTTACTGAGTATTTTGTCCTTACATTGAAAAAATTTTTCACAACAATTTTCTATGTTTCTGTAATACTTGAATAACTTTACTGCATCAATAAATAATGGCTTACTATCTTGTGATCTTGAATAGTAAATAAAATTTTTTGCAACTAATAAAAGAAAATTTTCTAAACAACTTCCTTCTATATTAACAAGTAAAACAGTTCTTTTGGATATTTTGTAATCTTTTTCAATGACACTAAACCTTTGTACAAATTGATTCCAAAATTCAGTCACACTAATACACACAATCATAAAATAAGTGAATTATTGTCTATTGTTTATATCCTGTTTCTATGTCTGTTTGTCTTTTGACAACTTTAACCTCCACCATAACTTTTGAACCATGAGAGATACAGACTTCATATTTAATATGCCTACTCCACTAATTAAATTCTTTCAAAAGACACCAAGGTCAATGACCTTGTGACCTTGACTGTGACCTATATGCTAAAAATAGCTTTTTTTAAACTTTCGCCTTAACTTTTGATACATTCAAGATAGAGAAATCATATTTGGAATGCCTTCTTCATTAATTATGCTCTTTCAAATGACACCAAGGCCAGTGAACTTTTGACCTTTAATGTGACTTTAATGCTATAAATACCATTTTGAACTTTCACCATACCTTTTGTACCGTTAAAGATAGAGACTTCATATTTGATTTGCATACTCCACTAATTAAGCTCTTTCAAATGACACCAAGGCCAATGACCTTGTGACCTTGACTATGACCTATATGCTTAAAAAAACTTGTTTGAATTTGTTGCCGCCTGGTGCATAGTGTTTCACAAACACATCTTGTTTTGAAGTAGTTTTAATATTTGAATTTCTGTAGAATTTTATGTTACATATAAAAACCAAAAATTTTTAAAATCAAAATCATTTTTATTTCAGTACTTTGTGACAGTGGGATGATGGAATATTAAAGAATGGACATGGCTCTATATTACTGCATCAGAGATCAATCCAGGTTTACTTATAAATCAAAGAAAAACACTTAAACAGTCAAGCATCATTTGAAGCTACATGTGTCACCGCTTTAACAATATGCCTGCTTATATAACCAAGAAAGCACAGTGACCAGTTGTACCTATGATGTCGGACAAGATCCCAAAAAAACTTCCAGTACACTCATCACTATATGCAAAGAATTGAAAATTCTAAATGACTTGTATCAACACTTTTGTACTTCATCTGGCTTGTATTTTCAGTACTCATTAGCTTTTAGCTTCCTGCAAACAAAATTTCATAAGTACTAACTTGCAGGTGTAAAATATTTGAAACAGTTTGCTTGTCCCAAAGGAAATTCTGCAAATTAGCAGTGGCATGAACAGTTGATTGATGTCACAGTTCCACCGGCAAAGTATTTGTAGCTGAATGGTGCCATGTAAAACACTTTTCACAAGAACATGGAAAACATCCTAGAAGTGAGGATCTACAAGAAATTAAGAGAATTCTTTCTTGAATATTTTCAATGTTATAAAATGCTTGTGTACATCCTTTATATATAAAACTAATTACGCATGTAACTACGAAATATACAAATCAAACTTCAATCCTTAAATTTGTTCTTAAGTTTATTTATTAATATTGTATTAAAATAAGCGTGCAATATTTGTCTTGATATACTGAAGGATTCAACGTTAAGAAAATGTCGTTCATTGAAAAAATGTGCAACCATTCTGCACAGTTAGCAATTTTCATGGAGAACCTATCGATGTGCATTTGCAATTGTTGGGATGACAGGCACACAGTAGAAGAATTGTACTTGTTATACCCCCCGCAAACGAAGTTTGGGGGGGTATATAGGAATCACCTCGTCCGTCTGTCTGTCTGTCCAGCTGTCCGTCTGTCTGTCTGTCTGTGCAATCGTGTCCGGTCCATATCTTTATTACAGAGGGACATTAGAATCTACTACTCCACACTAAGATTGCTCATAACCTAAGGGTGTGTCATGACCTTGACCCAAGGTCATTTGGGGAAGTTCAAGGTCACTGGAAGAAAAATTTCATAATTCGTGTCCGGTCCATATCTTTCTTATGGATAAACTTGGTAGGTTCACATTTCACAAAAAGATTGCCCATGACCCAAGGGTGTGTCTTGACCTTGACCCAAGGTCATTTGGAGAAGTTCAAGGTCACTGGTAGAAAAATTTAATAATTCGTGTCTGGTCCATATCTTTCTTAAGGATAAACTTGGTAGGTTTTCATTTCACACAAAGATTGCCTAGACCTAAGGGTGTGTCATGACCTTTTGACCCAAGGTCATGTGGGGAAGTTCAAGGTCACTGGAAGAAAAATTTCATAATTTGTGTCCAGTTCATATCTTTCTTATTGATAAACTTGGTAGGTTCTTATTTCACTCAAAGATTGCCTATGACCCAAGGGTGTGTCATGATCTTGACCCAAGGTCATTTGGGGAAGTTCAAGGTCACTGGAAGAAAAAATTTATAATTTGTGTTTGATACATATCTTTATTATGCAAAAACTTACTTCTGAAAAACCCAGCGGGGGTATTTTGTCCCGATTGGACAGTTCTAGTTAATAAATGTTTTTTACCAATCAAATTTCAAATTGATAATTTAATAAGAAAGCATAATTATGACAAATTTAACTATCATTATGGTCCATTGATTCACCATGGTGTTTGAGCTTTTGTGGACTTGATACTTAACTAGTAAGTTTGAAATATTGAAGTAAAGAAAAGTGCAGCCCAAAAAATTATCCTGTACCTGATCTTAAAATGAGTGCCATCCTTAACTACTTGGGAGTTGCCGCACTCTTCATGAGTATAAGAATTATTGGATATGCCTCATTAACAGGTCTATACTGGTACATGGATGACACATTCAGTTGAAGCATTGTCCCTTTTTCAGTACCTCCTGGGTCTCTGTAAAATATGACAAATGTAGATAAAATGTTCTACCATTGAATGATGAATGTCTTGTGGACCCAGTGCAGACCTGTTTGGTGACAACATTGGATAAATTGGGGATTGTTCTAGCTAAGACATATAAGAAAATTCCTATTTCTAATGCCTATTTTAAGAAAATAAAATGTCTTTCTCATAATTGTAAGAGTATTTGGGAACACGGGCACCTGAAGTACGGATAATACCCCCCCCCCCTTTTTTTTGGGGTCATAAGGCTTTACAGTTAATATATTGATCGTACATGTATGTCGTTTAACGTCCTACAGTTAATATTGAAGTTGAATATATACATCCCTGTTTACATGAAAGAAGTACATGTAATGTTGGACGTTTTTATTTTTGGAGTATTAATTATTTAAAAAGAACATTAATTCTATCAGGATTATGTTTAATCGACGTAGTAATCAATCCTGTATTCCCGTGATCGGTGGAATTGGGTGCATGTAGGCCTATTACGAATTTGTTTTTATTGACTTCGCATTCTATATCCCCGGCTCAGCTGTCCTGTGAGCTAAATAAATGAAATAAATAAAATATGGAACCAATCTTTGGGGGACGTTTTGGTTTGAAACCCTGTTACTTTCGCTTAAAACAATAAAGCAATTAAACGTTGTTTACCTGTATCAATCAGTCCATTTTATCCTCTCCTTTTCAATAACCAGAAAACGAACGACTTAACAGACATTACTTCCTGTTTCGCTTTCGTTTTTAACGGGAGAATTAGTTATTTTATTTTAAGGGTGATTGGAAAAGAGATATCTCTCTCATTAAAAGGGATCTTTCTTTAGCTTAGAAAGATATCTCTTTTTGAAAATCTAAAGAGATATCTCTCTAATTAAGAGAGATATCTCTTTTAAACTTGTTAAAGAGATATCTCTCTAACTTTAAGAGATATCTCTCTCGTTTAAAGAGATATCTCTCTAGCTTATAAAGATATCTCTCTTACTAAAAGAGATATCTCTCTTTCAAAAAGAGATATCTCTTTTGTTGAAAGAGATATCTCTCTAAAGTATTAAGATATCTCTATTAGTCAAAGAGATATCTCTATAAGCTAAAGAGATATCTCCATAAGCTAAAGAGATATCTCTCTATGCTAGAGAGATATCTCTCATATTGAAAGAAAAAATTATTTTACGAATAAATAGTAAAAGGGCTTGCCATATCGAACGCTTATAACGTAACTTGAGGAACCTGTTTTTATACAGTTATAGATAGGCATTGCTTTCAGAAGTGTTTTGTACAGGGAAACATTTGCAAATGTAAATATATAAATTTTAAAAATACATCTGAACAAAACAATGAAAGCGCTTACGTTTTAACAAGCGTTGCCTTTTTCATTTTATTATAATATTGATTACCCGACACTGACATATTTATTGGTAAATGTATATTATAAAACTCTACTTCAACTGACCTTCAAATGCATTGGTACTGACCAAGGCGCTTATAATTTTAAAATCTAAATAATCTTTAAAAATCTACCCATGTAATTGAGAAAACTGTACATTGATTTTCGAAAGTATATTATGCCAAACAAATAAAGATAACAATGTAGATTGAATTGCGTACATGTAGGATAGTGTCTTTTTTTAATGGACGCGATATCATGACCCAATACGCATACGATAGAATGATTTAATTAATCCGAATAATTTAAATTCTGTATCATATATTTCAAAATTATTGAAAGTATAAACTTAAAAAGGGGTCACAGAACAAGTCATGGTGTAGAAATGTAATCGCACTAAAAGATCAATTCTCATGCATATATAGAACTTTAAATGTCCTGAAAACAAAATGAAATTTAAATATTATATTTTAGTATGATTATATCGTTTCATATGCCGAATTGTGATTTCATAAACTGTTTCTCTTGTATTGAAATAGAATGCTAAAGACAAATAGTGCTAGTAGAAAAATATTTTTTTTTATTCACAGACTTGGAGGAATCAACAATATATCAAAAATTGCCTGTGTATGTGTGAGAATGTGATAGAAATGACTTGCGTTATATAAAAAACTCTTTATCGGATTATTACGGAAGACCATTTAGGACCTATCGAAAAACAATTTTGAATTCGATTTAACGATTTGTCGAATTTGTTAAAACGAATTTTTTCTTGATTATAACAATTTCCTAAAATTCGTTAGAACGAATTAAATCTGTTATAACAGATATCTTAAATTCGTTATAACGAATTCAAAAAAAAAAAAAAACGTCTTAACGAATTAAATTCGTTCAAACAGTTTCTAAAATTTGTTATAATCAATTAAATTACAATTTTTGAATTCGATATAACAAATTGAATTAGTTATAACAAGTTTGTTGAATTGGTTATAACAAATTCACAAATACTTTTCTATAGGCCCAATAGTCAAATATAATGAAACGATTTTAATTCGTGATAACAAATTTTAGAATTTGTTTAAACGAGTTTAATTTGTTATTACAAATTTAAGAATTCGTTTTTACAAATTTAATCCGTTATAACAATTTTTAAAAATCGTTTTAACGAATTCAACAAATTTGTTATAAAAAAAATTAAATTCGATATAACGAATTCAAAAAATTGTTATAACGATTTAAATTAGTTCTAACAATTTCGACAATTCGTAATATCGAATTCAAATAATTCTTTTGATAGGTTCTAAACAGGCTTCCGTAGATGATAAACTGCTTACACGGAAATAAATAATTAGCAAACCTGGTCAAAACCGAAACAACGTCATAGACAATAATTTGCAAAAAAAGGTGAAAACAGTGCTTCATTATAAAAAGGAATAAAGGCATTAACAAATTATTCTGATACCCGAAAAATTGATGACAATTAAAGTGTAAAAACATAGAAACTTCTTAGATTAAGAACAGAGAGGTAATATGTTTGTGAGATGTCCTGACGTTCTGTTTTTGACGTTACATCGGTAAGCGTAATCCTAAGTGACAAATTAAGTTGATTTTTAAAGTTAAGTAAAATTGGTCCACTTAATAAAAAAATATATTTCCATTAACAAGACGATTTATTTTGTAAATTATTGTCTTTTTTGTCAGAAATATATAATGATAAGCAACTTTTTCTACGTGTTTTAATGACCATCGCATCTTTTCAAAAAAAAAAAAAAATAATAATAAAAAAAAGAAAATTAGAATTACGACAATTAGAAGTATTGTTCATGTTAAGACACGCAAACCATAAAAAAT